GTCACGCTTCCGTTTGTCTTCCAAGTTCCTTGACACCGAGAAGGGCAGGTCATCCAGCAGCTTGGCGCGCTCCTGACGTCGCTCCTTCTCCTCCTCATCCTCCTCGGCTTGGAGCTCCTGTGGTCCTTGCTCGTCAGAAGAGGTCGACGATGATGAGGACCCATCGTCATCTGGGCCCTGACCCTCCGCCTCCTCACCGGCTTCCACTCGAAGCTGGCCTCCTTGTAGCTCCTTCTCCACATCCTGTACCGCTTGCGTGACGTACTCTGCACTGGCCATCTCGTCCACGGTCGCCAGGCGAAGCTTCTCGAGGGGAAACGCCTTGACCCGGCCTCGAAGACGAACCCAAATCCTCTGGGGGATGGCTTATCTCGTTCCACGCAGACAATCACGCCCGGCCCGGACCAACTGCTGTTGTCCTGCATTCGCCTGGCCAGGCCCTTGCGACTCGCCGGAGGGTCATAGACATAGACAATGGCTCCTTCCCGAACGCCCTCCATGTGAGGTGGGCGGGATCTTGAAGCCAGCGCTTTGCGAAGGGCATCGTGGGAGTCCAGCCAGTGGAAGGCCTCCAAAGCCCCTATGCGTATCCTCTCTGCCCGGGCCACGGCCTCACTGTTCGTCACGGCCTCATTGTACTGGAACTTCACCCTTCCGGAGGCCAGCTGCTGCATGAGGGAGCCCGGTATCATCGTACTCCGGCCTGTCACCGCCTGCATGGGAGACACGCCGCCCCGGTTGAGGGTTCTGTTCTTGGCTGCCACCGAAGCCAAAAGGGCGTGGCGCATATCCTTCAGTCCCTTCAGCCCCATACCTTTGACCACTTTCATGACCATGAGCTTCAGCACCGCGCCGTGACGTTCGGCCTGGCCTAGACGCCACTTGGCTCCCTCAGGGGTCACTTCATGCACCACGCCAAACAAGTCGAGCATGGTCTCGAGGCTTCCTTTGAACTCGCTGCCGCCGTCCGTGATCAAGAGATCGGGAGGGCCGAAGACTGAGAGCCACAGATCCTGGAACACCTCCCTCGCGAACGACGAGTCGGGAGAATCCGTGAGGTCGGCCACCTGGTAATCGGTAAGGGCGTCGATGTAGTGGGTGGCCGCGAACTTCTTCCCCTCCGCGTCCCAGATGAAGAAGGAGTCGCCAGAGACCCTCTCGTTGAAGGCCTTCGGCTTTTGGTAGGCCACCTGCGGGGTGGGCAATGGAGGACGAGTCATCGCACAAACTTGGCAGCGCAAAGCCCCTGCCAACGTCACCGCAGAGTCCTTGGCACCGCTCAAGCGTAGCAGCCTAGCCAGCCTATCATTCGACAAGTGTCCCATCGTCACATGCAAGTGGGCGACGAGGGCGCGTAGGCGTCTGGGCTGCTGGCTTGCTTCCCCCTCAAAGCAAATGAAGTCATAGCGTTCGCCCGTCATGGAGTGCTTCGCCAGTTCCTGCCTCAGGTTCTCGTCCGGGACGTCGTGACTCGTCACGGCCATCGTCTCCCAGCCCTTGCCCCCGGCCGACTCGTGCAGGGACCATTGGACCTCAGAGGCGGTTTTACCGTAGGCATGGTGGGCCGCCGAAAGCACCCGCTCACAGAAGGGCTCAGGCCACTGTGCCGCAACATCCGAGCGACGCACCCAATTGCC